CCGTGGCAACACGTGACCAAGGCGGCTTTGACTGTCGTCATGAGGCGAAGGAGAACATGCCCCTGGGCACATGCGTCTGTAGACTGGGCGGATTTGCCGACGGGCGTTCCGTCGCCGATACCGACGACTTTGCAGGTGTTGTTGGAGCTGGAAATCGGACGTCAGGGAGCCTGACATTGTCGCCGGGCGCCAGGCTTTCCAAGGCCTCTGTCGAGGAGGGCCGACACATCCTCACCAGCCAGTCGGTCGGAGAACTGATTCGCCCTTTCTGTTGTTGTGGCGAGTCTTTGATGCCTCCGATTGTTGCCACAGCGACTAGAAGCGATCGGCCTCGATGTGCCCTGCACCATGACACCATCCGCGAGGGCGTGGAGACTGGCTTCTGCAATACGGCCACGAAATCTGGCTTCGAGGATCAGCGCATTTTTGAGGCCGCCCCAACCGGAGCGGACAAGGAAAGTGGTACAGCGCCGAAATTCCAGACCTCCAGACTGGGCTTTCAACGCTCACTCACGCTGCCCCGGGGTCTTCGTCAGGCCAGGTTCGGTGGCTGGTGTCCAGCTTCTGTATTGACGCTTCCAACACCAACACCGCCTGTGTCGTCTTCTTCGTCAGCCCCACCACCACCACCACCACCGCCACCACCGCCACAAGTGTTGTTTTCATCGTCGAAGATGGCCGGAGACGAGCAAAAGTTTGCGCCTCCAGCCTGGCCCGACCAACGTGACATGCGACCTCGGCTGGCTCGTCGACTGAGTCGCGGACCGACTGGACCGCCCTTCCGGCCGGTAGGACAGGTCGTGCAGCCTCCCTTGCACATTCGGCAGCGGAGCTCGGGACTGCCAGAACTCACAGCCGCGGCCGCTTCTGAGCATCTGGTCGAATCCTCGGCCTCGATGGGTCCCCTTCGGCGTCATTCTGCTTCGCCCCACAGGGCCATGGTCTGCCCATCCTTGTCGTCAAGGCCGGAGCCGAGGCGGGCAGACACTGAAGTCTACTTTCCTGGCAAGCGAGGGCTCGAGGGGAACACATTTTTGTCCGGTCCGAAGGCCGTTTTTTGTGCACGCCACAAGCCGGCCGGCCACAACGATCGCACGACGGATTTCGCCAACTGCCGCCACTCAGTGGCCGGATTCTGGAGCCAATACCAACACGCGTAGGCCAGCAGTAAAGAGCTCTTCTGCCTCGTATTTGGAAGGGAAGATGTGTACTTTTGACGTGTGCTAACCCCGAGCTGGAGGCAAGCAACTAAGTTGGGGTGGTAGCTTGGTGGAAAATTATGCCGTGGACTTGGGCAAAAGTAAAAAATCTCCTTGCAGATAGAGTAAGCTTTTGCAGTTAAATATTGACAGGCGTCGATTCATCTGAAGATGTTTGCAGTTACAAGCCTCTCTTCTGCTAGCCCACCCCTCTTTCATTTTTGATGTTTAACCATTCATGGAACTAAAAATATATTCATTTGCAAATCTCTGAACATCTCAATCTTAGTAGATATAAAGAGAAGAATCACTTCATAGATTTGGATGGTGTTTCGTTTAGAAATGCAGGATGGGAGACTCCAACTCCCTAACGGATCTGAGTCCTCCATGTCGAGATTTCGTCTGTCACGGCGTTTCACATACAAAATAAAATGTACGATAACATCTGAATCTCATTTGCTCCAGTCTACAATATGAACTAGGCCCTGCTCTTCATCATAGCCTTGAAAATGTTTGGGCTGACGGCGTGGCAGATGATACGGTACCTAAGACCAAGTATTGAATCCCGTTGTACGACAACTCAAATATTTGCTCTCAAGCCATTATAAGCGATTTGGGGTTACCATGTTTTCACACACACACACGCACACACGTTCATACATACATACACAGACAAGCTAACATGTATACGCACACTGAGAGAGCAAGAGTATACAGACAAGGAGTAGTGGAATTGGCAAATGATTAATAATGTGGATAAAAATTGTATTTTGCCTGGATTAAATGGTTACATTTTGCTACAATTAGACGAATAAGTCTCACGATGCTACTGAATTTCACTTAGCCTTACCTCCCAAAAAGTATTCTCATCACGGCTGAACTGAACTTAGTTTCTATTAAACCTAAGTCTCATCAGCTTCCTGGATGGGAATAGAAACTGTTCATTTTCGACATATTACTACCTCACCATACTGTTACGTTTGTCGGTGTATCAAAGGTCAGACATGGATTTCAACGTTTGCCACGCCGCTACCATATCACACATTACACTTTGTAATGGAAGCGTCGACGCAGAAAACCTGTATTTACTATTCTAATCGGTTACATTATTTGCATTCAGATGGAGTAGGCTTCGATTATAACAGTAGATAGTGAATAAAAGTAAGTAATTAAAATTTACATTTGCAGTATAAATTTAATATGAGATGTATTCACCATATTTGGCTTAAGGTGATGAAGGACTGATAGTAGAATTTTCCCACAATGATATGATTAGAGCTGACGCTTCCATTGAATTTCACACAGACTTGCTTTCCCAAAAGTTATTCTTATCCAGAGTGGACTGCAGTTTCGACCTCACATAGGGCTTATCAACATCCCTAGCGGGAGTCGAACCGTGACGGTACAGAATGTGTCACAAGGCAGATGTGAATTTCACGGAAGGCAAGGCCTCTTCCCATATCACATTTTTTGGTGGGATTATCGATGGAGCAAACGTATTTTTGCTATAACAATCGACTACGTTACTTATTTTTCGTATGTAAGTAGAGTTTCGAAACCACCAGTAAATCAGTAATATGATTCGAAAAATAAGTCATGTAGTCGATTGTCATAGCAAAAATACGTTTGACCAATCAAAGATCCCACCAAAGAATGTGATATGGGAAAAGGCCTGGCCTTCCTTGAAATTCACATCTGCCCTGTGGCCCAAGGGTACTCGTGGCGATGTGGCTGAGTGGTAAACGTTTTAAGTCCACATTCTGCACTTTCACGGTTCGAATCCTTCCGGGGGTGTTTATAAGACCTATGCGAGGTGAAAAATACAGTCCACTCTGGATGATAATAACTTTTGGGATATCGAGGCAGTGTGAAATTCAATGGAAACGTCAACTCTACTCATATTATTGTGGGAAAATTCTACTACCAGTCCTTCATCACCTTAAGCAAAATAGGGTTAATACATCTCCTATTACTGATTTACTAGTAGTCTCGAAACTCTACTTACATACGAAAAATACTTTAAAAAAATTCGTGTCTTCGTTTCTTCAAGCTTCTTGAGGAGTTGATCAGGAATGGCTTGTTATTTAGTGTCATTTAAATCTGAAGGCAGATTGGTTTAAGCATAATATGCTTTCGTTTGAGTAGATCTCTGTTTTATGCGCTTTGATATTTGGCACAAATTATGTTACTGATGCGACTAGCATATAATATAAATTGGTCTATACCTTTACAAAAACGCCTGATTGAAAAAAGTAAGCCTATGATTCTGCGTAATAACAATAATCCCTAATGAAGGTAAATCGAGAAGTATTGCCTTGCGTTCCAATTACTTACTCAACCCCAACACTCTGGTTCCTGGACTAGAGCTCTAAGGGCAAGCGTGACTGTCTGTGGATACCCCCCTCTTAGGTGATCTCTGCGAATTCGTATTATTAGTCAACCCTGGAAAAGAACATTTAAATGGCATAGCACGATAGGGTAAACTATTTCGGTTCTCTAATTAAACGGGTCTAGAGAAAGAGAACTAAAATACCCTTTCCTGTAGTATAATGGAATGGACGTATGCTAAATTGGTCGGTCAAGGAGGGCTAAATAATAAAAATTAATTTAAAAATTTATCCAAATTCTTTTTTAAAAGCAATACTCGATTTCAATTTTTTTCGTGCTTAACCACCTTTTCGTACTTAACCTCATATTAAATACTGCTTTCTACCCCGCT